CTGACTTTTATAGGAAATAAATTTGAGTTAAACTAAAGTTGTACAATTATTTTCTCTATTGTATTCTGCTTCACAAATAAAATTAAAAAATTAAAAAAAAAATAAAATTAAAAAAAAATAAAATTAAAAAAAAAAATAAAATTAAAAAAAAAATAAAATTAAAAAAAAAATAAAATTAAAAAAAAAACAAAGTTTGTAAAAAATGGGAATCTCACGAAAATTTCTTGTTTCTTTTAAATATTTTGAATATGCAATGGCAGCTATCACATGGCCAAAATTATATTTAAACATTTATGTAAGCTTATTTACTATTTTATAAAATCCACTTCATTGATACTAAAAATTTATTTATTTAATTTATTATGATTTCAACTAACGTAACTCTAAAAAACCCCAATATATATACAATTTATTTTGAATTTGTTGGTCAATTAAATATAATGTAATATAATAATAGTAAAGCTAACTATTTTCATTTCATATTTAGCTAGTATGTGGTTATTATATTATGTAGAGTTTTTTCATAATCACGCCGGTTTCTTCAGCTATCTTAAAATAGTACCAAAATATTACTAGAAGTAACCAATTTCCAGCAAATTTTTCTAGTTCTAAGATTGCGCAGATAACAAAAACGAAGGCGATAAGATATATGCGTTATTCGAATGCTTATATTATAGATAGTTGTCTACAACAGCTTAGGATAGTTGCATAGAGTGGAAGTGGAAGGATAGCCGATGAACTGATAGTTTTATGAATGCAATAATCTTTGCTTATCAAGCATATGCATGAGCTTAAAATGATGTGTGAAATATGTTGAAAAAGCTTGGCAAATACTCGATTTTCAGGTTCCAGGTATCCTCTAGAGCAGCCGACTTGACTAGAGCGATGTTACTGGCTATATGCAATTTACGTTAACATCTATGAGTTGAATATTTGCATGATTCATCGCGACACCCTCATCGTCAATCTATTTTATTGCCGGCACGTTGAAGTTTTGGAGGAGTTACAGCTCGTTAGGCAGATGACATGACAGAAATTAAAGCAAACAGACAGACAGACAGAGACACAGACAGAGCAAATCAAGCGGAAATTTGAAATGAAAATGAAATATGGAAAATAGAAAAAACAAAACAAACAAAATAAATTTGCATGCAATTTGCTTGAAACAATGCAACAATCGAAACGTTAGAAAGCCCAATTCAAATTGCAATTCACAAGGTGCTCAAAAAAAAACAAAAAAAAATTGAGCTTATATCTCCACGATGCGAGTTTGATTGCGTAATTAGAATGAAATTAGCTGAACTTGTGCCAATTAGCGTAATTTCGAGTCAACTTCAATTCTTTGTTCCACGCTCATTAGAATTTTACAATTGAAATAAAGGCGAAATTAACAAACTACCTAATTTGCTTATCATATCTAAATAAGTTTGTGGATAACGCTGAAATCAGGTGCGCAAACAGTGGGCTAAACAGGTACAAGCAAAAAGCCAGCTACTTCTGAAATTCTCGACTCGCTAGCTGCTTATCTAAATGTCGCGATTAACGAACCGAAACAAAGCCAAATTTATGATAAGCTTCGACATGCTCAACTTGTTTTGCTAAAACAAGTCTGGACTTGCTCCTCTATTTGCATTATTTTCTTTCTTACTTAATTAGCACAAGATATACAAATGTGCACATATATCTATATATATAGATATGATATACTCTATATAATTGATTGCTCTTAGAAGTTGGTATTAGAAAGTTAAATAAGAATTAATTAAAAAAATATGTATTTAAATTTGTATTGTCGCCAACTTTTCAAACAACCCTCGTATTTGAGAGGCCTTTTATTTGAAACGCTTTCAACTCTCATCTCTCATATTAGCTGTTTGTCTTTCTTTTCTTTAAGCTTTCGCTCCTCATTTCTTCTTGCCTTTGTCTAACTACCATTCTATTAACTCTCTTTATCAGTGCCTTTATCAAAAATTGTACTAACTTCTATTTAGATATATATATGTATTACATTATATTATATTTTTGGGGATCTACACTTTAAACTAGATTAAATATTCTGGGAATTTCCAATTGAAAACTAAATTTAAATAAGTTGAACTTGAGCCACATTAGATGCGAACCACTATTAGTCAGTTACAGGTATTACACAGCCTCAAATTATGTATTTTACGCATAAATAATACGCATACGCACTGTTAGCCAAGCAAAAAAATATATTTAAAATGTGACAACAAATATGAATAATGTGTCCAAGGCATGACGAGCCAAAACCAAAAAGGTGCTGCAATCACATTGCCTTAATTAATAAAGACATGTGATGAATATATAAATACGCATTTAACACCTGCAATTGACCACAACAACGCAAAAGAACCAATAAAAAAGACAATGATCAAAAAAAGACAAGCACAAAAAAAATTGTGCAGCAAAAACGAAGGCTTGGCTCATAGAGCACTATTAAGCTCCTTAAGAATTTCAGCTAAGAACTTCAAAAAAGTTCACAACAAGCTATCAAGGGTATACAGCTATGTGTATACATATATATCTATATACATATATAGAAATATATACAGCTATATATCAAAAACAGGTTCACAGTTAACCGCAAATTAGCCAACTGTTATTTTCCGATGTGACTAAGCATTAACAGCCTATAGTTTTTAAGTATAAGCACAACGGCAAACAATATTTAAACAACAAAATATAAAAAAAAAACATAAAATATAAGAGCCATTAAATAAAAAATATGTAAAAAAACCCCACTAGCTCATCAGCGACAATTTTCCATAATAAACAACTTAATTTGTGAAAAATCTTTGCGAGTCAATAAACCAGTCAAAATATAAAAGCCAAAAAAAAGTTCAAGTAAAATAAGTTAATACGCGAAATTCATAAATATTTTGAGAAATCTATTGATGATGCGAGAGCGCACGCCCGCCAATGTAAACAAAATTCGAGAATGCAAACAAAGCTAGCAAAAACAACAAAAGGTAAACAAAATAATCAAAAGTAAAAAAGAGAAACAAAAACAGAACAGCAGAAAAAAACAACTCGCAGTTTTTTTCAGTTTTTTTTTGCCGGCGTCGTCAATGCAAACACACCCAACGCGACCTCCGCCTCCACCTTCATAGTTCGAGCATTGTGTGTGTGTCGCATTGAGAAGCCTCACACTCTGTGTGTGTGCGTGTATGCATGCTAGAGTATTTGCTTAACAGTCGATCTAGATAACTCTTCACTCATTGACAGGCGGCAAATATTTGCGGTATTTCCAAGTGAAGAGCTGCTTTGCTTAGTTGGCTTGTTAAAGTTAAAGAGAGCACAGGGGAATAATAATACTCTTTACATGAGTGCATTGAGCTTAAATTGCTACGATATACTATCAGGGTTACTCTGCATTTAACTGTTAGAAATCAGTATTTGCCTGATATATCAAGACAATTTGACAATTTGACAATTTCAAGAGAGCATAAAGGAGAAGCGGCATGTGCATTCATGGACACTTTTATTAGCCACTACTGTAGCTCTGCAAGTAACTGTTAAACTGTTAGCAGAAGACAATTGCTTGGCATAACGATTCATTTTAAAGTAAAAAGAGAGAAAGAGAGAGAGCTTGTGAGCGAAGGAAGGAGGGGGACTTTCTGAATATATGCATTAAGCTACATAACAGTATCCAAAGACACGTTTATTAGCCAGCACTTTAAATTTAATTGCTGAACATCTGTTTGCAATGAATAATCTAATATACCACAAATAAAAAGCTGCCTAATTATAAATAAAAAAAGCACTTGCCTGGTTAATAACTGAAGTTAATTAATTTATATGACACATTTTAATTAGTTAAGTATATCGTCAAAACTTCAATCGACTAATTTGCGAAAAACGCTTTCACACACCGGAAACACAGTGCTCTAATTTGACCTCTCCCATTCAGCCCAACTCCAAAACAGGCAAAACAGTCGCTAAACAGCAGCCACTAGCAGCGGCAGCAGCTGTGAGTGACCGACAACAAACTTGTCACGATGCCAAAGCGCAATTCCCTTCTCTGTTTTCAGCTGCTGGGAGAGCTGCTGAGAGAGATAGAGAGAGGGAGAGCGACTTTTCCTTCAATCACACGCACACTTGCACACATATGCAACTATTGTTTGTCTAGTCCGCTCGTGTGGAGTCACAGCAAGTGCAAATGTTGCCTCTGCCTACCATCATCATCTGCACACACATTTAAAAGCAGCGCCGGCGTCGCTGCTAGCATCGCATCATGTTGCTGCTGCGACGTTAGCTGTTCGTTTTGTTCGTGATTCGTGCACAGTTGCGATCGGCAGCAGGCAAACAACGGAACTGAATTCAGTCGTCAACGCCAGCGCCTGCCAGAAAGAGATTGAAATTTCGCTGTCCTACGCCGCCTTCAGTCTCTCTTTTTCTCTCTCATACGAACGCGCGCTCTCGTTCTGACTGCCTTGTTCGGTTCGGGTTCAGGTTCAGCACACACGGCGTATACGTTAACCCAACCCATATGTATATAAAGTGCAAACAGCTGCGATGTTAAGCATTCATTGTTTGCGCAAGGGAAGAGCTAAAGCTCGCAGCTAAAACGGCAACTTAAGCAACTTGAGCAACTCAATCAAAAAATCCACCGCAAGGATCTTTACAAATGTTTTTCTGCACATCAAATCACATTGTCGTGCTTTTGCCCTTTACAACTATGTGTGTGTGACTGTATAATAAATGACCATTATTTGCAACTGTCAAAAGGTGCAAAAGTGTTTGTGCGCAAAATCAAAAAATAAATAAATAAATAAATGAAAAACAATAGCAGCAATAATAAATATAAATACGCTGGCAAATAAACAAATACCGCAACAACAATAACTACAACAACAACAACAGCAGCAGCGAAATAACTAAAAAGCGCGCGCGCCAAAAAGCAAAAACAATATTGTTAAAAAAATATATATTATATATATAAAATACACATATATAATAGGGCTTTTCCTATACGTTGTTTAATAACATTTTCTCACGCCTCACACAAAAGTTAATAAAAAAATAATAAAGAAATGGAGGTGGAAAAAATGCGCGAGCAGCCGCTGCTGCAAAGCAAATGCTGCATCCTTGACTCCAGATGTGCGGTAAGTGTATTTAGCTACACATGTCTATGTAGTATCTATATAGTCTAGTAGCTGGTTGATCAACCGTTCTATAAACACATTCGTAAACATTTGCCATTTGCGTGGGCTTCTACCTCTGAAACGTAGAATTGAGTGGCACTACAAATATCAAGAGTGCGAGAGGAAGAGACTGTGTGCCATTAATAGATCGAATAGATCGAGCCAAGATATAGATTAAGTAGCTGCAATGTAAACATTTGCCAAAATATATGTCCAGCTACATCAATTATTAAGGGGGCTTGTGCTTGGATAGCGCTTCAAATGGGCACTCAAAGTGCAATTAAATTAAATTTAATGCAAAATATGTAGGAAACAAATATTTTAAATAAATAAGGATTTTGGAATGTGAAGACTCTAGACTAAATAGCTAGAATTACTGATTTAGTCTTATTATTAAATAGTTGAATAGATTTTAAGAATTCACATGTTAAATTTTAAAATCTTTTTTATCTTAATCTAATAAAAAATTCTTTAGAATATTTTAATACTCTATTAAATGCTTAGATAAGCAAAATTAACGTGCTAAAAAATTCGATAGAATTTCAATACTATTCAAAAACATTCGCACAACTTTTGACTACATTATAAAAAATAATAATAAAAAACAAGAAAATTCTCTTACATAAACAAAAATAAACTAAATGTGAATTAATTAGAATTTCAATGCAAAATCAATTCAAATTAATTCTAAAGACTTTTGAATAGATTGTAGAAATTTTAATCTAGTAAATAACTGAATGCAGTTCTTAAAACTATTTAATAAACAAAGTATAATTCAAATTGATTGAATATGTTTAAATGTCTCTATAGGAAATCTATAATTAATTTTAATAATAAAATTGTTACTTTATATGAAAGCATTGAAAAATGTTAGCTTTAGGCGGCTTTATGTGCTACAGATAGCTTTCATGATTTTGATGAAATGATATATCATATATGATATGAGAAAGTATTTAAATATTTCAAATCTTATATTAAAGAAACTAAACTAAATTTGTTTTAGAGTTTTATATAGACTTAGACTAAGATTCCCCAATACTGACAACATCTATAACTCATCATTTTGTTATTTGTTCAAAACTATTCACAAATATAGAACAATTTAGAAATTTCTATTATATTTGAGAAGAAATAAAAGAAAATATTTGTTCAGCCGTTTCCTTCAAGTAGAAGAATTAATTATTAAACCATAATTTATGCGAGTTGTCAAAAGTGTACATGAAAAACAAATTAAAATACAGCTGGGCCATGGTTGGGGAAAATGGAAAATTGGAAATGCAAGTGAAAATTGTTGTCGTCGTCACCGTCAGCGCATAGTTGTTGTCGGCGGGCGCACATGTGCTTCAAATTAAAATGTCTGGCTTTCATCTAAGAGCAATAAATAACCATAATAAATCCAAACAAATATATACATATGCATATATATATATTTGTTTATATATATTTTTTAACAACTTGTTTCGTCTATTTCACAGCTGAACGATTTATATCCGATCGCCCGCTTGACACAGAAATCGGACGTGCTTAATATGTCGTCGTCGTCGTCGAAATTGGATAAGGAATGCCCCTATACCATAGAGGTTGTGCAGCCAGAAGATACGGCTGCAGTTCTAACCATGCTAAAGACTTTCTTCTTTAAGGTAATATTTTTTAATATAATTTTAAATTTTTCATATATTTTTAGTAGCACTCAAACTTGAAGTATTTGTGTTTTAAGAATTTTTTTAGTTTGACAATTTTAACCTATTTTGTTAAAAAATATACATAAAATAAAAAAAAATAGATCAGCTTAAACTGTATTTAGTTAGACTCGTCAACAACATGCAATAAAATATATTTATATATATATATTTGTTTTTTAAATACGAACTTTGGTAAATACTTTCTCGTTCAAAGAAACATTTTTATTTGTTTATTCACTTTAATTGCATTCATTTCTTAATTTAATTAATTAAAGATGCAAATTGTTACTCTTCTAATGACTCTTAGCTTGATAAATTATTTCTTTATTTAATTTGCATCTGTCAGCTCGAAACGAGAGTCAAAACAAAGCAGAAATCGCATAAATAAAGCATAGGAATTATTAATGAGCTTTAGTTAAAAAGATTTGCTTCATTAATTGCAGCTAAACTCAACATTTTTATGTGCCCTTAGCGGGGGTTTTTTCTCGTTCGATGTCTCACTTAAATGAGTGCGTGAACTATTTATCCTTGCGATGACTAATGAAAGAAGAAAAAACCCTCGTCCAGCCTTAGCTCGAGACTACATCTCACAGTTCTGCCAAAAACCAGTTGGAGAGAACGTCATTTGACTTTGTAGATCATTAACTGGTTACCCAGTTAACGCTTCACTGCATAGCTATCATATTTTATATATTTATAATGATATAGTCGCAGCATTATATTATATATGTATATATATTTATATACATATTTAATACAATCTGTAGCGATCTTGTCGAGTGACAAACTTCCACTCCAGTTAGTCGGGCCAAAAATCCGTATTGAATTGCATTTAATTAAAAAGCTTGATATTATATATATATATATAAAAATATATTATATATATACATATACATATATGTATATGTATGTATGTATGCAAACCTGATTGACTGACTGACTGACTGAATGACTAACTGTAGCTCCGGTTCCGTTTAGCATTTGCCATAAATTATGCACAATCTTTGATTAAAACGTGTAAAACTGCCTTAGATAGGATTGCTCGACTAAGAAATACCCTGAAACTGAGGTTACTTAAGATATTCTAGCACTTTTCTATGCAAACATTTATGTAATTATATTATTACTTATGCTTCCTCCTTTATGAGGATTATGAAACATTCGTTAAATATATGTATATATACTCTAATAACTAGACTGGACAACTAGATATTAAAAAAAAAATAAATACATGTTACGAAACGTATACAAGAATATATATTTTAAACTTCAAGTGTTTAGTTTTTGAAGTATTCGGGATATCTTTATTTAAACAATTGTAGATTGTCTCTGCAATTCATCTTGGTCAAAAGTTTTTCGTTTTTTATTATTGCCCTCATCAAATACCGTGAGTTACATACATTTGCTTAAAAGACACCATACCCCTCTCAACTATTTACAGGGTATATTAAAAAATGTAGATAATAGATTACAAATGCGTGCACATAAATCATTTTCGTATAATTCTAATGTTTCTGATGTCACGTAATTGCTTGAATAATTTGTACAGATTGTTCAATTTAGCATTTTCGCATACAATTATTAATAGATCTTGATATGATATGATGTGATATGATATGCTATGAGTACTGATAGGAAACTGATATTAATTGAATGTGCTTTCTTTGCTGAACTTGAGATTTTGTGGAATTTTATATGAAATATTAAACTTATATATGCATTTTCAGGACGAGCCACTCAATACATATCTAGATCTCGGCGAGTGCAAAGAGCTGGAAGAGTACTCAGTGAAACCGCTCAAGGACAATTGCTCATACAAGGCAGTCAACAACAAAGGCGAAATTATCGGAGTCTTCATCAATGGTCTAATGAAAAAAGCTGTATGTTTTCATTATATATATATATATGTATATATATATCGATATTTAATAATAATATATTTTCCTTCACTCTTATCCAGGACCCATCAGATCCCGTTGAAAAGGCAGCCGATAGCTGCTCACATCCAAAGTTCAAAAGATACTCAGCCTAATGGATCACATAGAGGATCAGTTTAACATCTTTGACTTGTATCCGGAGGAGAACGTCATTCTGGATGGCAAGATACTCTCCGTGGATAGCAATTACCGTGGCTTGGGCATTGCCGGCAAACTAACGGAACGTGGCTATGAGTATATGCGCCTCAATAATATATCCGTTTACCATGTTCTGTGCTCCAGTCACTTTTCGGCTCGTGTTATGGAGAAGTTGGGCTTCCATGAGGTCTACAAATTGAATTATGCTGACTACAAGGATGGGTCAATGTTTAAGCCTGCCCTGCCACATGTGGCAGCACGCATACTGGTCAAAGATGTGGACAAAGCCAAGTCCAAGTCGACGTTGTAATTGCTTCAACTAGTTGCGAGAGCAATTTTGCATTTTTAATAGGAAATATGTGATTTTTAGTTTATAGTTCGGTGGCGGGCTATCAAGAATCGTAAATTCATTTCATTCTATTTTCTGTTAAAACCAGTAGAGAAATTAACTGAGTACAAGTTAAATAAATTATTAAATAAATAATTATATAAACTTAAATGTAATTGAAATTCGCCCGTTCGCGATGTTAATTTTTAAGTGTTCCGTTATTTTTTTGCTCAAACATTGCTAAATGAAAAATAAATCATTTTTAAAAGCAACTTGTTTTATATATGTAGCGAAAAAATTATAAATAAATTAAATAAAGAAAAAGTAACTAGGAGCACTAATTGACTTAATTTCAGTCAATTTAATAAAAGTAAAACTTTTGCCAAAAAATTATATAAAAAATATAAAAATATTTATAGATGAAAATAAAATAAATATTTGATAGTGTGTCTTGATCCACTCGCTTTGCTTTTTACCATAAGGATTTCGTTCACTTTTTGCAGTAGTTAAATTAAATTATTTACAAAGAAAACTATTGATAATTAAAACTAGCTTTGTGTGTTAAATTAAATATATATATATATATATATATATATATATCTTCTCACAGATATTTATTACCAATTAATAAATAATATAAAAATATAGAATTATCGTCGAGTAATCCTTCTTCCGCCGCTTCCTTAATTTCACAACAAAAACGTGTTTAGACCGGTATTATCACATGCTGTTTGCTAATCTATTTACAACAAATTTAGTCTATTTACATATGTTAAAAATGATTTTATTTGGCTGCAGCTGCGGCAATCGGATCTCTGGCCAGACGCTCGATCATACGTCGCATTTGCTCCTCATTGCCGTACTTTTGTGCATCGGCAACTACGGCGGCATGATGAGAATTGGCCTCAGCTGAGACTTCGTCCTGGAATTGACGGTTCAGCTCGAATGAATGTCTGCAACGATCCATTTAGAATATCTATCAAGATACATCGACTATAGCGTACTCACCGCACTGAGCTGAAGCCAAAGATTGCACCTATTACGCCAAGAGAGATAAGAAATAAGGCTACCTGCCAATTGGAGACACGTTCTAAGCCCTTGATACCGTAATATGGACCAGGATTTGCGCTATAATTGGGCTTAACATCCCAGGGCTGAATTGTTTCACGCATTGCGCCTGAATTCCAAATTAAACTTTCGTCATAATCTTTTCGAGATGAGGCCTTCACCAATGTTTGATAAGCCTCTGTGATTTTCACAAAACGTGCTGTCTTCTCCACACTTGCCGCGTTACTCTTAACGTCGGGATGAAACTATAAATACGTATATAATTTATTAATACAAATTAACAAATGAAATACTTGTTGCACCTGTTTAGATAGTTTGAGATAGGCATTACGTATGTCTCGCTTGTTGCAATCGTGGTGAACATTTAGCACATCGTAGTAGGTCTCCGGTTTTTTCGACTGATATCTTGAACTGTTGTTGAATCTACATATTAAAAAAAATTTAAACGTTATTTTATATAACAACAACAAATAGCAGAAAGAGGCAAGTGTTAAGTACTTATGTCTAGCTGCCGTCTCTGTGAACACTTTTAAGCTTGGTAGACGAAGCATAATTACTGGTCCCCCTTGTCCGTATTTGCGTACATCTGTTTATGTAAATAACTAAGTAATTTTGCTCAAATTAGTATGTTCTAAAAAACATAAATAAAATTGTAAGTGTTGAAAAGCGTTCTATCGGACTGTGGCTATCGATAAGACTGTTTGCAATAGTATCGCACGCCTATCGATAGCATGCTGCTGCAATCGATATTGTCGTCAGAAATCGCTGTCATGACAACCAAAAAAATAGCGCTCTTCAGAAATAACAATAATTATTAAATAATAAAATGAGCAGCGAAAAAAAGGCAATGGAATTACAATTCCAGGTGCGCCAAAACGCACGTGAGTATCAGAGCTCGGTCAAGGATCTGTACTCATGGGAAAAGGAAATTAAGAGCAAGGAACTGGCAATGCTAAATGCGCCCGCTCCAAAAATTCAGACAAACGTGAGTAGTAAAAATTATGGTTATATATAAAAATAACAAGAAAACGTTTTAGAATACACCCGTACGCAGCCATGTCAAGAAAACGGATGAGACACTTAAGAAACCAGCAACAAACAGTGGCACTAGTAGCCCAGCGATCACCCCAACTGAGAAGCAGGATTTGCCTACAGATACACTTGCCCAGCTGCATAAGAAGGCAAATGATATAAAGGATCGCGGCAATAGCTATGTGAAATTGAGCGAATATGAGAAAGCTATTGAGGCGTATACCGAAGCTATCGAAGTCTATTCACTAGATCCCATATACTATATCAATCGGGCTTTATGTTTTTAAAGCAGGAAAGGTAATGAAAAAGCATATATCTCATCGATATACAAATCTAATCTGTTTCTTGTAGCCATGATAACTGCATTGAGGACTGCGATGCAGCCATTGGGCTGGACAAGTTGTGCGTTAAGGCCTACTATAGACGCATGCAAGCAAACGAATCGCTGGGCAACAATATGGAAGCCTTGAAGGATTGCACCACTGTACTGGCCATCGATCCGAAAAACTACGAAGCCAAACGTAGTTTGGAACGCATCAATGAACGCTTACGAAAAATTGGTATTTTACGATAAAAATATAATAATATTGATAGCTAATTATGTATATTTCCTAGCTACTAAAAATGGTCCCAACTTCAGTGCTGATCGCGAAGATTTTGTGGATATCTTACCATTTGATAAGGCGGCTTCCAGGCGTTCGAAACAGCCCATGCGCCGCATCAGTGTTGTAGATATTGTTACACCTCGTCCAGGTCAGGATGATCAGAAACAATTGCGCATCTCGGATGAGGAAATTGATAAAATATTCAATAGCAATTGCGGACCCTTTGAAGAAGTGAAGAAAAAAGTTAAGCTACAGACGAAGGTAGCACAGCCAAATACTTTGGAAGCCAATGATAACTTAAATGTTAAAATTCAGGAAACTAAGCAACCAGCTCAGCATCAATCAACAGTCAAGGAAGAAAGTATACAATCGTCGACAAAGCTTATTGAAACTATTATTCCTCAAACCATAAAACCAGCAGCAGAATCGAACCAGACTAACCCAATTGTAGAAAAGTCTGTCAAAACTCAATCACAGCCAATAGTAAAAGAGAGTAGTATCACAAACGTGCCACAACCAACTAAAACTGAAAAACCAAGCACCTTAAGCAATAAAACTAAGATCGAACAAGAGGACAAAAAAGTTAAAACAATGGAGGTAAGCGTAAAAGCATAACTTAATTATTGAAATACTAATAATAACTTCGGCTTCCTAACAGCGCATACCACCTGCTCCCTCCGGCACTGCCCAGTTCTACATGACTTGGAAAGAATTGTCACCAAATCAGAAATATCAATACTTGAAATCTATTGAAATACCCAATTTATGTAAAATACTTGGCGCTGGCTTTGACTCTGATACATTTACGGATTTGTTGCGCACATTGCAGGATTTCTATGTGCCCAACAAGGAGCCAACGACAGCGGCAGTTTTGCTGGAGATAAGCAAAAATGATGAATTCAGCATTTTGGTGATATTTATGTCGCCAGAAGACAAAAATAGTGAGTACCCTTATGCTAGCATATTCATCAGAAATAAGCATTAAATTTAATTCCATTTCTTCCAGTGGCTGCTTGTATCATGGATGCTATTTCAAAGTTTCCCAAAAATAATCCAGGCCTATTGCAAAAACTGGGCAAGCTTTACAATGTAGCCTAAAAATTGTTATAAACAATAAACGTACTTGATTTGCTTCAAATTGTTAGCTCAAAAACGAATATAATCATATATGCAATTTATACTGTAATATTCGATTATGTCTCTCGTTAGGTTTACTAAACAATGAAGATCTCAAATGTTTTGAAATACTTGCGGATTGCGCAACACTCAAATTAATTGAATTCGAACTGCTAGATCATTTTAATGCTCTTCTATTTAATTCAACATAAATTACCTTCGCTTTGTTCCTTTCTGAAAGTAAATAAAAACTATTCACATGAAAGAAGAACGAGAACACGAACGTCGCGCGGTCGAGCAATGAATATTAAATAGCAAATTGAGTAATATGAATTAGTGTAATTTACATAAATCAACGTATTAATTCAATCAGAGAAAGCTGCTACCCAAAATGTGCTTGTATGTGTATGTGGGTGCATACATACACAATTGCTCATATATGCTTATTTCTTGTAAACAAACAGCTCCATTAAGTGATTTAAAGTTGAAATTATGCGTTGATGGGTTAACTGCACCGCATTACAACACTAGCTGAAGGCGCAAATGACAACAAAAACAAAAACATTCAGTGAGAACATTCTCCAACACAGATTTGTGTCAGCGTGAGAGCCGACGCTGGCGTCGCATCGCTCCTCGGCTGTACAGTAAGTAGATGTGCCGGGTTTAGCTTAAGGCCCATTGTTGGCTCGGCTAGTTATAATTTAATTTACATTACTTGTTGCTTCTTATCGTTCGTGCGCGTATGTCTATGCATCTGTGTGAGTGTGTGTGTGCGAGCGCGCGCGTGTTCGGCTTAACGTAGTTGCCAGATGAGCGCAAAGCGTGGCGAGCGCACTGGCAACTCCGCAGCCGAAGCTAAGCTTCATTAAGCAGCGGCTATAGAGAGGCAGGCAAACGGAGCGCATGATCTCGCCCAGTTGCTGTTCACACTCTAACCGATTTAGATATCGCGCTCTGGTTGTACGAAAAAATTAAAAAAAAAAGAAATAGATATATATATACACATATATCAAATCAAATAGAAATCACGGCACACAAATAATAAAAGGCGAGCGCCGTAGTCGTTGTTAGTAAAATTAAATCGCGTATACGAAGCGTGAAACCCAAAGCGATCAAATAAACGTAAACAATTATAGTTAAATACAAGCGTCAAACTAACGGAAATTTGTGTAAGTGTATATATTTATATATATAGTGAGTCGCACAATATAAATGCAATAATATATATAAAAAGCAAGTGCAAGAGAGAAAGCAACAAAAATAGCAAAAGAAATCAAAGTCAAAGCTTGCGACTTAGTGAAAAACTGGAAAATGATTGCAAATTAAGAAAAGCCATAAAAATACAAAAAAAAAATCTGTGCAAATGGGCAAAACAAATGCTGCGTGTGCACGTTTCTGTGTGTGAGTGTCTGTGTGTGTGTGTGTCTAATATAAACATGTTTGTGCACATATTCCAATGAATAGCTAACTTAAAATAAATTTGTGCAAAAACAATGAAACTCCCACCAAAAAAAAGAAAAACAAATACAAAACAACAACTCGCGCAGCATCAGCACAAACAAAATCTAAGCGCGAGTTGATGTGAGAGTGAGATAGACTGTGTGTGTGCGCCATACTCACACCAAGTTAAAGCCACGTACAAGCGCTTACCTTTCATTTAATAATATTCAAGCAACAACAACAGAGAATTGTTAAAGAATGCAAAACTTAATTGTTGCTGGCTTAAACGGTGTCTGGCACATCTGGTCGAGACTCTTCTCAGTGCTGGCCGTGTAAAGTGGCCGCCCACCTGCCGCACGACTTAACTAATTTATGCTGTACAGGTGGGCTGCTCTGGCATGTTGGGCATCTACAACACAGCCGGGGATGGTAACCAAGTTCAGATTCCAGCCAAGATCTCGGCCAGTTTAGCTTTTGCGTCTCTTTCTGCTATCGGTATTTTTTTTCTCTGCTTCTGCCACTTCGTTTCAACCTGTGCCAAGCGCGCAAAAACAAAAAATAGCCTAAAAAGATAAAACAACAACAACAACAGTAGCTGTGGCCGCAGCAGCCACTAAGACGTCAGCAAAAGAAAACAACAAAAAGCAATTGGAATATCATCAGCAAAAGACATCAAATTCAACCGGTTGGTTGGGTCTTAGCGCAGCAGCGGCAATAATTTGTAAAATGAAATAAAAACAAAAGTCAAAGCAGCGAGAAAGAGAAAGAGTAAGATGTGCACAAGTGTATAGGCATCCGACGGGGGTAGCCAAGCCAAGCCAAGCCCAATCCTCGCAATTTCTTTCAGTCTGGAGCCGAGAACTTCTTGGCATAGATCGAAGCATTTATTTAAATCGCTATTATATCTTTCTTAATCATGTGATTATTCAAATTAATATATATCTTTTGTGTTATTTCTGAGCGGGTAAAAACCATGCCTGCCTTAACACACTTTTCTATACATCCGTTTTGGTTTTTTGTTTCTGTTCATTTTGGGATTTCTTCAAAACAAAAAACTCTTAGAAACAAGCTATTTGAAATAATTGCCATGTGGAATAATACCGGATTTTGTGCAGAATATGTATATATTCATATATACGCATTTGTCTAATTATTTATAATTTTATTATGCTAATTATATCGCAGTTTGATCAATGTTTCAACCAGCTTCAAGTAAGTGGCACAAAAGTCTGGCAACGCTTCCAGCTTCTTAGTGGGCAGAGCAACGGTTAATTATTGTCTGGGTATCAAATGTCTTAGTTGTGATTTGTGGGCATATCAAAAGCTTAATTTTAGCTATAAAAACTCTTCAGTTGTTAAACGTTTAGCGGGCAATAAAAAAGCTGTCCGCAATTGTAGCTTAAAAGCTAACAGTATGGCAACTCTTAAATGTGACTAGCTTAGTGAGTAGCTGTTAATTTAAATCGCATTTTGTGAGCTTAATTTTTGATATTTCTCTCCTTCAAACAATTTCACTTTTTAAGCTATATTTAATAAACGAAAAAGTATGGCAACGCCATAAAAATCAAATAAGTGAAAAGTTGAGGCAGTGGAAAATCTAACAAAGTAAATATCATTAATAAAAGCCATACCGTAAGCCAGAAGCAACTTTCAAGATATCAAATTTGATAACAAACACAGTTTATCGCATGAAAAAGTTATCGATCAATCATAAACCCGACTTTTAAGTAGAGATAGAAGTAGATTGTAATAGAAGAATGGCTACAAGTATAGACAATCCGAAAAAGTAAATAATATACCCATTCAAAAAGTTATCGATAAAAACCTAGACTTATCAAGTAGCGCAGAATCTCATTTTGTCTAAAATATAAATCTATGTCAGCTTGCATCTCAATTGAAAAAGAATTTAACATATTTTTGATTAAAAAAATAATAAAACTCAATTTATCGAATCAAATCATTATCGATCAAGGGCAAGAAAGACAAGAAGAGTGGATGGAAGTCGATGGAACCAACAAAACAAATTTTAGGCAGCTTAAACTTAAAACTATGTTTAGAAAGCGCAATTTATCGAATCGGGTGATCGATAACTTACAAGCTAGGTTTTACAGCTTAAGCAATGCTGAAATTTATGAACTTTCCAATATATGTGCCATGCTTTCATCGAACTTAGCAAAACTGTGTTAATTGCGAGTCAGCTTCCGAGGCAAATATGTTATATATATCCACATATTTATATATATTACACATGAATCATAATAGATATAGTTAAGGCTTTATATACAGACACTGAAAAGGCCCTGAAAATCGCAGCCAGATGGATTGGTCTGTATTTCTTTTTGGCTATTGCAAACATATTTGCGCAAGTCTTTAGAGCCGAGACGCTAATTTGATTGATTTGTTTGGTAGCTCAGACACGTCCATATATACATCTATATAGATAGATAGATGGATATATTAACTTTTTGACGCTTGAGTCGAGAGTCTATTTGCATACGGACAAATTGAAATCATGCGTTGCGACTCAGTTCTGGATGGCTGAGCATGGAGCTCTTATCATACTCAGCTAATCCGCATGTAATTGAAATATTTCCCAAATCACATGCCAACCGAAGCAATTAGCAAACACAGCTATCATTCCATTCCTCTTACTGTGTATATATATATATATATAAATTTCAATTCAGCTTTATGGCTAGCTAATATTGTGGCCGAATCGTGCTGTTCAATGCAAAAGTTTTTGTTGTTGTTTTATTGAAATGCTAAAGATTTGCCACAAATAAAAAACCCAAAAAGCCGAAGAAACGTTTACAGTTTTTGCTGCTGCTGTTAACTGCGGCTCAAGGATGAGCGCCCTGCAAACAGCACACAACAAAAGCAATAAGAAGAAGATGAAGAAGTAGAATCATAGCAAAAACAAACAAACTACCTCAGAGTTTAACTTCCGGCTAAATCAATATAACAACAGCAACAATAGCCGCAATAACAGCTACGCTTTATAAGCAGCGACAGGTTTTTGATTTTCGTAAGCGCACAAAAAGAGTTGCTTGGCTTGCGTATAATTCAAAGATCTTTTCAAATGTATTACATTGAGCTGTGACATCCAAGATTCAAATCAAAATTCAAAAACAAATTTTAAATTAAAAATAAAATAAAGATTAAAAATGCATCTTAAAAAAACTAAAAAAGGAAACCAAATTCAATTGATAAAAAAAAGATACTTTAAAAAATATAAAAAAGAAATTATAGAAAGCTATAAAAGAACATATTAGAAGAAAAAAATTAAACAAAAATTGATTTTAAAAAAATATAGTTTTGAGGTGTGTGTTTTAGAGGTGTGATATATTTTTAGAACTAATAAGCTTAAAAATAATAATTAAAAAAAAAATTATATATAGAAAGTTAAAACCTTTTTCTTCCTTTTTCAAAATACTTTTTGTAAGCAGCCTGTAAGAATTTTTAGCGACTTTATATCAAATTTTCTCAATTTTAAAAATATAAAAAATATAATTAAATCTCTAAAAGAAGAAGTAGAGCATTAAAGAGTCAGCGACAACTTTTTGTTGCATTTCATAATTTTTGTTATTTAAATAATTTGCAGCTGCTTCTTAAATAAGAATACAACTGTTGTCATTATTCGAGCATGTCATTCTTCTTTTCTTTTTCTATTTCTATTTGTTTTTTTTTAGTATTTTTATCTTCTTTTTTACCAATTTCAAATCAAGTTTTGTTGCTGTTGTTGCGTCAAACTAAATCAAATCAAATCACTTGAGTTATTTTCGTATGAAAAGCATTTTGTTTGCTGTTCTGCTTGGGAACTTTGCGAATATACATATATATATATATATATATATATGTATGCATATATATCCACATTCATATCCATAGCTCAAGCTAAAGCTGAAGCTGTAGCCGAAGCGTTAATTTAATCAAAATCATTGCGACAATGCGACGTCAATGAATGCGACAACAACAACAACAAAAACAACAAGAACAACAAATGCGACGATAGCTGAGACGTACTCAAAAGAATGTCTTTAATCTATACTATCTTTTTTTTACTACTAAAGAAGTTTTACATTCGTTAAAATCTAGGTAAATATTTGAAGATGTCGCAATTCATTCAAAATAAACATTTCCAAATAATATTTTCTAATTAATAATTAAAATATTAAAATATTTATTGAAATATTTTAATATATAGAAATTTATCAAAATAATTTATTTTATTTATAAAAACTTTAAAAAACATACATTTTTTGCATATATTTTATTTATTTGTTATGGAATTTTAAAAAATTAATTTATGTTAATTTTAATATTTATAAATTTATAGAAAAATTTAAGTGATTTGTGAAGAGCATTGAAAATTATGTTAAATGCCAATAGCATATTTTTTATGTGTATATATATTTTTTAGCACATTTAATTTTATGTTACTAATTATGAGAACCTTTAAATTTTTGCTTAAAATTTTAAACATTATAAAATTAAATTTGATTAGCTAATATTTTGTTAAGCAATTATACCGTCTGGAATATTTCTTTAATCAAATATTTAAATGTTTAATTTATGAATATATATCTATATTATATATGTTTTCTAGATATTTGTAATAATTCTTTATATGTTAAATGTAAAATCAAAAATAAATATTTTTTATAAATTTGTAACATATTAAGCTAAAAAGTAAATACTGAACTTTTCATAGATAAATATATTTATTTATAGCATATTAAAATTATATTAAGTCATTCAATAAATACTAATTTATATTATTCATACAATTTCTACTCTTTGCAATTGTGAGAGTTTATTATGAATGAAATCTGAAGCAAAGTGTTAGAAAGTGAATGAGAACAATTAAGTCACGCTCTCAGCCGGATATAAGTTCCGCAGTTCATACTTACTGCACTCCCATATTTATATATATGTATATACATATATATATATTTATGTATGTATATATAAATAGTCTATAATGCGCACAACAAACAGAGCCGACATAAAAAATAAAGAAACAGACACAGAAACAAGCACACAGACAGAAAGACAACAATAAAAATCAACAAAAACTTCGTCATTTAAAACGCAATTAAAAGAACAACAACAACAACAAAAAATCACTTCATCAACTAAAAATGATATATTCTATTCGTTGTGCCACTTAGATTTCGCATTAAAAAATAAAGTTCAATTTTAAAAGATGTTTCAAAATTCCATTGCATACTTCGCTGCGCACAAAAGGAAAATTACCAGACACAAAAATATTTGAAAAATAAAAATTGACTATTATTTAAAACTAAATAAAAAAGAATTATATAAATAAAACATGTTTATACAAAAAAATAATATAGAAATCAATTTAATTGTAGACTCGAGCTAAGATACGCCTTAAAACTCGATCAAGATATAATTTTCAAAAATTTACTTAAATATTTCAACTGAAATTAATACAATTTTCAAAATGTTTCTATAATGCACCTGAAATACTAACTAAGCATGGTATTAGGCATAAGTAAAAATAAATTTACCTTCTGACAGCAATTTGTATACCCTTAGCCCATGAGCTAAATGGCGGCAGTATAAAGCGTGAAAGTTTGTATAAATTAGCTACATTTTTATTGCCAACCATAGCCAAGTGTCTGGCCGTTAACCTGCCTGTCCATCTGCTGTATGAATGATATATATATAAATATCATATGCCATATTTTGGTTACCTTTATCCATGCTTATGACCCCATAGATATTCAAGCCCTATAAATTTGATTAATATTCAACAATAAACAACTAAGTTATTCACTTAATTTATATTGGGCTTTACTAGAAGAACCAGGCCAACATTGGTGTTGCTGTGTGAGTGTGTTAATGTGTGTATTGGTGTGTGCGTGTGTGTATATAGATAGAAGTCGGAATGTTTAAAAGAACAGCGCGGCACGAGCTCAATGCCTAAAGCTTAATGCCCCTTAAAGTTAAAGTCAAATTCTGAGTAAAGCACAAGCCTTACACTTTCTTATATACATATAAATACATACATATATTTATACAGACACATATTTATGTAAGTAATACAAACAAGAAAAAAAACTCTTAGTAGACATCAGTTTATAGCTCGTGAGCTGGCAATGCAAATTGTTTATCTGTAATTTTTGCAGTTTTGTTTTTGCGTTTCGCCTGGTCCACAGTACAAATGTGATATCATGTCAAGTATATATAAATATATATACTATATATACATACATGAACTGCGACGTCATGTTGTTATCACAGAGCAAAAAAAAAACATGTTTCTCAAATATGCATAAAAAAAGCTCTAATCGAGCTGTCTGCCAACGTCGTATAGTAGCGAATACTTAAACACAATATTCAGCGGGAATTGTTGTTTATTGTAATAAATAAAATGTTCCGGGAATTATGGAAAATCAGAATTAATTTCTAATAAACACAATGAGACGCTACAAAACCTTCGACTTGTCGCTATGGAAACTCTTCCATAGATCTATTTTCCTTCACTTTCTGCGCTGGTCGTGTTGCAGTTAAACTGAAAAATACATTTTTCAGAGTTGAAATCGGAGTGAAATAAACACAAACTGTGAATATTATGAAAATTAACTATTAGAAAATATTCCAAGAACTGTTCTTCATATTTTGCAGTCCAAACAACAAGCGGTATGATGCGGTAGAGTCTGCCAAGATCTGGCAATGATGACGACTAACGTATAAATATTTATTGGACTAACAACTTTTGGATATGAATATGGAATTTGAATTTCCGGACTTTTGTAAGTATGCAAAAATTAAAATAAAAAAATGTTTATATATATAAGAAATTTAGAATTGTTTCAATGCAAGTTAAACATGAAGCTATAAATATATATACTATATATACATATGTAGTAAGCCTATATTTTTGAAAACTTAGTTTAAAAATAATTAAATAAAATTATTTTTATATTCAATATAGATTATAAGATAAGATATAAGATTTGAAAAACAATAAAATTGTAAAATAAATTTAAATATTTAAATACTTTAAGGACTTATCTCAGTCAGCAGATCTCTCTAATCTTACCTGACATAGGCGTGATTGAAGAAGAGGCCAATCGTTCAGTTCAACTATTTTCTTTGTTTTAAGATTATATAAAACCTTAGCTAAGCTATCAAGCCAACTGGCCGTAGTCATAAAAATTCCTTTAATCAAAAGCCCGCCAAACTTTCAAATGTTGTCATACATTAGTAAACATGAAAATTGTTATACACACTTGATATATACATGTTATACACTGTGCTATATGTGTATAACATTATTTATAACTCATTAGACTAGCTATGTTATAAGGACATTCGTTATACAGGGAAATTTGTTCAACAGAGTAAGCTAGGCCTCGACACTGCTACCCAACATATCTCAGAGCTTAACTGATATTATCGAAAAGGCAATCTGAAAAGCAAATAGTTTAGATATTCGTAGATGATGATAAAATGCCTAAATGATAATGGCCCATGCCAGGGTTATAAAAACAGCAGCGGCATAAATTGTCCTTCGACTGGTCTCCAAAATATGCGCCGTTTCGTCAATAACAAAATCTAAATGTGGCTACCGAAATAGATGGCAAATAAAAAATAAATTGAATGTAGCAGTCGGCAAATGCTTAACAGCATTTGAGTTAGGCATAGCTATAGACACATACACATACTATATATATAAATATATGTATATATCTATGTAGGTTTATATATTGCCAAATAATGTCGCCTGCTTTCCTTTGTTTGATCAATATTGCTGCGAGCAGGACGCGAATTCAAATCATTTTGCAGGCCAAATCAAATTTCAGTGCACAAAAATAACTCAACGCATTTGACGTTGAGGCGCGGCAAAAAAAATCAAATATAATATTTATAATAATAATAAAATAGTTTTAAAAAAACAGCTTTTGCTGTAATGTTTTGAATTGTGAATGCATATGTAAAAACATTTAAGAATCTACAAAAAAAAACACTTGTAAAAACAATATTTGATTTTAATTTCCAAATGGTTTTGTGCCCTTTTTTATATTTTATACATCTCTCTCTCACTCTCGCCCTCTCTGTGATTCTCCCTTTCTCTTTTTTATTATTTTTAATTGGGTTTCGTTTTCGCTTTCAATTACCTGACGAGCTTCTGTTTCTGTTCAAGTTGTTTATAATTTTGTTTTCTTTTGCTTTTTATATATATGAAAAAAAAGATTGAACATTTGGAAAAGCGCATTTTCACTGCTCAGCGAATTGTGAAGAGTGCATCAACCGCTAGTGCATTAGATAATTGTTGTTATATTTCTTGCTTCACTCTCTTTGTCGATTGGTCTATAAAACTTTAATAATTATTGTGGATGCTGCAGCGGCAGCTGTTAACTTGGCTATTAGTGCGATTTGTTTGGGCCTGGCCAAAAGGCGAGCAGGCAACGCGTTCCATTCAATACAAAAACAAATTAAAAAAAATATATATAGATATATACATAAATCAACTTGATAATGGATTATCCCAAAACATTAAATGGTAATTTGTATAATTTTATTTCACCTGGCTTTTGCACTCCTTTCTGTCTCTGCCTCACATCTTTATCGATCAAACACACTACGCTTATCAATCCACTTCTCTTGTCTTCTCTCTGTCTCTGTTTTTTTTTTTTGTGTTTTGTTTCGCTTTTCGCTTATAATTAGAATTCTGTTTTTATCGCTTTGTTGTGAACGCCTCCTAAAAAACAAAACCCCAAAAACAAAAAATAAAAACAATAAATTATCTATAAACTGTGTTAAATGAGCTTCACTAAGCGTGTGCACAAAATAATTATTAAACAAATATTTACTGGAAAAGAAATTGTTTGTTTGTGATGCCAACAACTTCTTCTGCTAACTAATTTATCTATTTGAGTTAGACGGAAATTTCAATTTACTTAAATTATTTGCTTAGAAAGTCATAAGGTTATCGCTGAAAGCAATTAAATCTTATGCTGACAATTCAATTCACAGATTTTCTATTGTCTAGCTAATTCGACTCTCAGCAGCTGCATCTTATACGCTCTTCTACACTCTCATGCACAGTAATACTGTTGCTTATACACACTTTTCAAGTCTTATACTTAGCATACTATACTATACATACTGCTTGCTCTCACACTTACTTTACAGCGCTGTCTCTTATACTTCTACTTATACTAATTTATATGCATACCTCCACTTCTACTTGGCATCATTATCATAATTATATACACATTTATACTTATACTCAGATTCACATTCATTTTCATTGTCATAAATATTTTTATATGCTTATACTTCTTCCTTCCTCTACTTATACTAATACGCTTGCTTATATTCCTACTTATGTTAATTATCACAGTAGTTGATTATAGTAGTTATAGTAGTGATTATAGTATTTATACATAGTCTTATTAGCACTGATACTTATACCAACTTTTTATACTCTTATATTATATTAATACTTAGTTTTATATATAATATACACATACAATACTTTGTCGTATACTCATACTTAAAGTAATACCGATAATTATGTGCATCTGATTATCATATTCATTAATATTAAAACTTTTGCTCATACTTATACTCTTACTGCTAGTCACGCAAATCTCTTAGCCATAACTCGTTGGTTACTTATACTAAAGTATTTTATTCTCCCATCTTAATTATACTCATACTTATACTCGTCTCATATTTATACATATTTATACTTATACTTTTAGCATATTTCATTTCTTGTTTATATTTATAGAAATATCTATACTATTTGGACTCTTAATTATACTCATAGTCATTCTTATACCATTGCGAGCATGTGTATACACCTAATTTACTTATACTCATACTCATACTTATACTAACATATTTATACTACTGCAAATATACATTAGCATAAGTATGCTAATATATTTATACTCGTGCTGAGCTGACTCATAAACATGCTTATATTCTAACACGTATTCCTACTTATACTCGTTATGATAGTGCCATGTATACACACCCACATATACTTCTACTTAGACTCCCACTTACACTCTTATATATAGCTTATAATATATAATCTTATACTTATACTCCTACGTCCGCTTATACTTAGACACATTTGTCTCGTCTTCTATATAATATTTGGCGCATTGCTGCTCTATTTTCTCTTGCAGCTCGCCCAGACTTTATGGATGGCATCGACAATGAGGCACTCGATTTGTTTATGCAAGCCGCTGGCGTCGGATCGCTCGATGATGCAGCACAGCACGGCAACAATGAGACGCTCAGCTTGGAGCAGACAGCCGGAATTGGTGGCATCTCCAAACTTGAATCGCCGCACACGCCGCCAATGAACGTGCTGGATGCACAGCTGGGCACGACGGGGCGGGTGAGTGCGATGGCCATGCCGCTGGCACATCTGCCCGAGAGTCCGCCCGATTCGGGCTCTGAGCCCGCCTACAGTCCGCTAGGAGATGTGCATGCGCTCAATGGGCGGGAGCTCATCTATTCAGGACTAACAAACATGCAACACCAACAACAACAACAGCAGCAGCAGCATCAACATCAACAGCTGTTGCACACAGATTTGCAGTTCGCAGCGCCACAGCAAGGACATCATTTTGTGGCGCCTGCGCAGGATGTGCGAGTAAAGCATGAGACTGGATTGATCATGAATGCCAACAGCCTGCTCTGCCAGCAGCAACAACAGCAACAGCAGCAGCAGCAGATGGGCGAGCAACAGTTGCTGTCAATGCAGCAGCAGCAACATCACGATTTACCGCCTGAGCAGCTGCTCTATCAGCATTACGATAATGGGCATGGTCTATATGGAGCTGGCAGCTATCAAAATCTGACGAACATGTCCACCTGCATGTTGACCTCGCCATTGGGCCTGGGCGATCGCGTTCAGGTGATTGGCACCAGTCAATTGTCGCTGAATCGCAGCTCCACGCCCTCGACGCCAGTGCATTCGCTGTCCCGCAAGCGCAAGATGTCCACCCAGTTGGATTGCCCGGACTTTGCGCCCAGTGTGCCCAAACATGAGACGGGTCTATTAATCAGTCCGTTGCGCAGCTCTCATCATTCCATTGCAGCTGCACCGAGCAGCAGTAGCAGCAGCAGCAGCAGCAGTCATCACAGCGAACACGATCCGAGCAAGACACCCGCGCACTCACATTGCTCCGCCTCCGTTTCTCCAGCCTTGTCCGGCATCAACTCCCAGACAGAGAATAGCCTGGATGGGCAGATCAGTAATGCAGCAGGTGGCAGTGGGTCAGGCAGCGAAGCTGGTGATCCAGCTTTGACGCAATGCATCCGATTCAGCCCCTTTCAGCCAGAGAATTGGCACAAACTGTGCGATCAGAGCCTGCAGGAGCTGTCCGTCATTTATTATCGTGTGGATGCGGACAAAGGATTCAACTTCAGCGTCTCGGATGACGCGTATGTGTGCCAGAAGAAGAATCACTTTCAGGTCACGTGCCATGCGCGCCTTCAAGGAGATGCCAAATTTGTGAAGACACCGTCCGGCTTGGAGAAAATCAAATCCTTTCACTTGCATTTCTACGGTGTCAAATTCGAGGCGCCCAATCAAACAATACGCGTGGAGCAGAGCCAATCGGATCGCTCCAAGAAGCCATTCTATCCCGTACCGTAAGTCTGCCAATCAGAAAACATTTTTTATTATATAGTATATATATATACATAAATATATGATATTTGCCTTCACCAGTATCGATCTCCAGAGCCATATTGTCAGCAAGATTACCGTGGGGCGTTTGCACTTCTCGGAGACAACCAACAATAATATGCGTAAGAAGGGACGCCCCAATCCGGAGCAACGTTTCTTTCAGCTGGTTGTCGGCCTGCATGTGCACACCACGTCCGGACACTTTCCGGTTGTTAGCCATGGCAGCGAGCGTATTATTGTGCGTGCCTCGAATCCAGGTCAGTTTGAGTCGGATGTGGATCTGTGCTGGCAACGTGGCATTACACAGGAGTCCATATTTCATGCGGGCCGTGTGGGCATCAATACGGATCGGCCAGACGAGAGTCTGGTCGTGCATGGCAATCTCAAGGTATCCGGCCATATTGTTCAGCCTAGCGATAGTCGCGCCAAACAGGAAATCGCCGAATTGGATACGTCGGTGCAGTTGCGCAATATGCAAAAGATTCGCATTGTTCGCTATCGCTATGAGCCGGAATTTGCGGTGCATTCGGGCTTGAGGCGCGAAAGTGACACTAGAGAAATTGTCGATACGGGCGTTATAGCGCAGGAGGTGCGTGAGGTTATACCGGATGCAGTCCAAGAGGCTGGCAGCGTTGTACTCCCCAATGGAAATGTTATTGAGAACTTTTTGCTGGTCAACAAGGTAAGACACTCAAAATAACCACCTTTAATTTTGAATAATCAGTTTTCGTGTATGGTCACACTAGCAAAAGGACTAATGGATACTAATTATTAAAGCTATTATTACAAAGTGGTAAAATAATTTTCATTAAATTAAGGATATTGGTAATGATTTTTCTTAAAATTTAACCATTTCAAATTGTCTATAATGGTAATAAGCCTAACTTGGGACACGAGCAACATTTTAAACTTTATATACGTGTCCATTAATCAGATATTATTTAGGGTCACATTTGTAGCAAGTTCAATAAAATAGAATATGTACACACTAAAATTTGTGGTCCATCATGGTCACACTTATTCTTATTTGATTGTTATCACAATTTTCAAACCACTATTTACAACAAAGGAACTTGGTTTTATTTAAAACACAAAAACAATGCTAAAAAATGTTCATATCTGTGATAAACAAAAAATCAAACACCAGCATAACACAACAAATATTTCAAAACTTGTATCTCTTCGCTGTAGGATCGTATACTAATGGAGAACATTGGGGCCGTTAAGGAGCTATGCAAGGTGACCGGATCGCTTGAGACGCGTATCGAGAATCTGGAGCGAGCCAACAACACTCACAATAATCATCAATTGCGTGCCAAGGATTTGTTAGAGCCACGTTGCATTTTACCACCACGCGTTCGCAAATCAAATAGTCGCAGCAATGAGGGCTACGAAATCTGCTCCAGCCGCCTAATGCAGGTCATCATCTTTCTGCTGATCATTGTGATGGCAGCCTGGTGAGAAATACATGACTTATAAGTCTAATATATGCTCTAATATTTATATAATTCTGAATTCAGCTTGGCTGCTGTTTCTACACTGTATTTTGTGGAGCACAATAAGCAACAGCAGCAGCAACATTTGGAAGGGTATCCCGGGTTCGGCGATGGTCACCTCTTTCGGCCCGATGGAACGACTCGGTTTAGTGACGAGGATCGATACAATTTCCAGCAAAGTTTGCAAACGCTGTTCAAGAACAAAACGCATGGCGCGTGGCCCAGCTTAATGTATGCAGCGAGCACTACGCGTCCCACTGGCAGAAGCAGCCAAGCTTTACGCTTAAGCGACGGCGATGTTGAGGAGGAGGAGGAGCTGACGGCTGTCATGAACAATCCACAGGTGAATTTACCGTTGCCCAAACTTCATGCACCACAGCCACGCATCACAACCACTGCACCACGCAACAACAACAACAAGACAATTGTTAGCAAAAACAAATCGAAATGGCCCGTCTCACAGGATGCACTGCGTCCGGGTGCTGCTCAAAAGCTGCTGCAAAGCGCACGCGTTGCAGCTGTCAGTCGAACTCTAGCCAGCAGCACAAACGAAACGGATGGTTCCTCCGAGAAGCCACAGGGCATAACACTCTCCCAGGACTTCGAGAATAATTCCATTGATGTGGACGCACAGCAGCAGCAACAGCAACGATTGCTGCAGCAGCAACAACAGCCGCAGCAACAGCAACAGCAGCCGCCTTTAAAGCCCTCCTCCAAGCTGGACGAGCGCATTATCGTTGTGAACACCGTTGCCAGCACAGCTGTAGATAATTTCTCGTCCTCCGATGCCGGCCAGGCTATAAGAAAGCTGAATGCAGGCGATGCCGCCATTTATAATGTATACAAAACCGTTTCGCCACCAACAGCCAACTTGGCTCTAACTACCAACAAGGTGAGCACAGAGCAGAGTCACGTCCAGAGCACGCTATCCCTTGCCTTAGATGTGCCGCCGCCAGCAGCTGTGCGCAACAGCAGCGGGAACAAGGAGAGTGCTGATGCACTCGATCTGCAAAATCTGAGCAATACAAATGAATCGGAAGCTGTGGATAATCCCATAACAGCACTCTTTGGCTTTGAGTACACGGATGCGGGTTTACGGGATTCCGCAGTGGGTCGACGGTCGGCTAACCAACGTAGTCTGGACTGGATTAGACACAAGAGCCTAAAGACGCCGCTGTTTGGCCAGCCAAAGGAATGCAGTGGCGAGGAGGCAAACAGCGCTAACTGTCAGGTGGGTACAGTAGTTTCCCCTCGTATTTCCGATATACCATTCTAATCATTGCGTGTGCCTTCAGTCCAACTGCTTTGAGTCACAGCAACCGGCTGCAGCTGCTGCGGATAATGTGGACGCGAATGTCAAGAAACAACATGTGGAGGAAGATCTACAATCCGCAGAGCAGGACCAGGAAGAGGAGGAGCCGGATATATTGATCATACAGCCAGTAGCTGGAAATGAGACCAACGCCTACCATGGCAAAAACTCGCACAGCACAGCTGCACGATCCAAGCAATTAGCTAGCGAAACAGGCGTTTCTGCTGGCGAGGATGCTATATACACTGTGCTAAATGCCGCACCTGCTGCAGCAGCCGAACATGTAGAGGCAGCACCACTGGCTACAGCCACGGCTGTGCCACATCCCTTAGATTGCTGGAGCATTACCAGCTGCGTGCTGGCGGGGCTAAACAATCACACAATTGATGTGGCTCAGTTTTGTCCCAGCTCCGGAAGCTCATTGAATATCACCTATACGGTGCCTGTGTCTAAGTTTTTACAAGCTGCCAGCTTAGAGCTGCATTTCAGGTTGGGTTAGGGACACAAATCTCTTAGCAGCTTGTATAATTTGTTATCCTTAACAGTTCCAGCAAGCCCATGCAGTGGTCTATTTGCAGCGATGATGAGCAGTCCAAGGCCAATGTAGGTGCACAGCTAAACGAGGATGAGGAGGCGCTACCAAGCAGCAGCAGCAGCAGCAACTGGGTAAAGGTACTCAAGCAGCTGGGTAATAATAAACTCATTCTAGCGCTTGATATGCCCAATCGTGGCTACTTTCTGCGCGAGTTTATGCTGCGCGCCAGTACAGACCTGGAACAAGTAAGCCAATTATATAGGATATAACAACAGAGTCTAATTACATTTGAATTATAGCAAAAACTATGCGATGACAACGCCCATGTGGCAAACCCTATACTGCAGTACAACTTTAGCATCGTAAGAAATTGTGATTAGTTAACAAACAATTTAATTTATGGCACGGATTGGATCAAAAATGAAAACGAAAAGAAAAACAACAAAAAATAAAGATTTAATTCCTGGCTCAGCGGCAACTGATCGCAGTTGAATGTGGGCAGCAATAACAAATTTGACAACAAAAAAACTACAAAAAAAAACATACAAAAATGCATTCAAAACTTTTATCGACATTTTAAATAAAAATATTTAGTAAAATGTAATTTCGACTGCTTTCTTTAACTACTTAAGGGCCTACTTAGAGCAAGTTGGTACTATGGGGCTACACGGCGAAGGGCTGATCTTTGCCATCCTCGTGGTATTTGATGTAGGTTTCGCCATGGGTAAAGTCCTTGGTGCCTTCCAGGCGACCACGCGCCGGTGCCTTATCGTAATCGAATGCCTTTTCTGATTTGCCAAACAGCTGATTTGCCATTTCGATGTCCTCACGGTATTTTCCGACAACGACTTTTTTACCGCTAATTGGATCGGTTATGTCACCCAGGGGATAAACCACTTTTTCCACCTTGTGGGTTATTAATCGTGTCAGGCGTTCGGGCAGCTCTCTTATTAATACAATATCGCCTGTCTTGCACACCTTTTGTGGATCGTGGGCAAAGAAGAATGTATCCTTTTTAAAGTACTGCAATTAGCAATATTTAAATAAAATTTCCACATGCCGCTTAACAAAAAGTCTGCAAACCATATTTAGATTTTTATCCAGCTCCATTCGACGAATACGTATTTTGGAAGCATTTTGTTTAATGCAGGGCATGCATTGGCCCAATAGTACTAATCCTCGTGCTGACATTTTGCTTAAATATTTAATAATAAAAACAACGTAAATTCACGTTTCTCAAAAAAACAAGTAAATTATGAAGTAAGTGTGACCAGCTCTAGATAAGTAAATTTAATTCACATAAAATACCAATAAAAAACTCACAATTGTGACTGTTTTAGTATTTTAACTTAATGCGCAGCAGGTGTGCACACACTTGATGTAACTGTTAATCAGCTGTTTGTGGCAGCTGTTGTGTACACACCTTGTCTCCGATAAGAAACAGTTTTTGTGTTGTGTGATCTGAAATTTAAATAATTTTAAATTTAATACATTATATACACCATTTTATAGTAATTATATAGCGCGCGTAAACCTAACTGCATGATAAGTACAATAGCTGTGCACAAGCAACGCACGCTTACGTCACCATGGTAAATAAACAAAGAAGCCATAGCAAATCAGAGTCGAGCTGTAAATTGGAAAAGAAATGATGCTTAAACGTTTACAAGGCAAAAAATGGCAGATCAACTAAAATATTTTTATAGCATTATAATCCAACAGCTTAAATCGCCCATCAAAAATGTCTACTTTGATCTAATCTTTAATATCCTTCATAGAGCTACGAACATGAAGACTATCCAGAGGATCCATTCCCAAAAGATTTTGGCTATGGCGCCTATGATCAAGATGGTCTGGATCTGGAGCCCAATGCATCTAGCAACAGTGAGACAAAACCTCGTATTTTGTTGATGGGTCTGCGGAGATCGGGCAAAAGTTCCATACAGAAAGTCGTCTTCCATAAGATGTCACCGAATGAAACGGTCTTCCTTGAATCAACGAGTAAAATTGTTAAAGACGATATCAATAATTCCAGTTTTGTACAATTTCAAATATGGGATTTTCCGGGGCAAATTGATTTCATAAAGCCGCCATTCGATTCAGACATGATATTTCGTGGCTGTGGGGCCCTCGTGTTTGTGATTGATGCCAAGGATGATTACATCGAAGCGTTAAGAAAATTCAAGGACACGGTTATCGAAGCGTACAAAGTGAATCCTCATATCAAATTTGAAGTTTTCATACATAAGGTAAATCAGAAAATCTCTTATCAGCATATTTTGTTCCTGCACGTGTTGATTTTCTCATAGGTTGATGGCATCAGCGATGACTCGAAAATGGAATCACAACGTGATATACACCAACGCTCATCAGATGACCTCAGCGAAGCAGGTCTGGATCAAATACATCTAAGTTTTCACTTAACCTCGATCTACGATCATTCAATATTCGAGGCATTCTCGAAGGTGGTGCAAAAGCTAATACCACAGCTGCCCACGCTAGAGAATCTATTGAACATATTCATACCAGTAAGTTAAATTTGTAAGCGCTTATCGAAATAATGATAATAATATTATCGTTGATGCCCTACAGAATTCTGGCATAGAGAAGGCATTTCTCTTTGATGTTGTATCGAAAATTTATATTGCTACTGATTCTTCCCCTGTGGATATGCAAGCCTACGAGCTATGCTGTGACATGATTGATATGGTCATTGATCTGTCTAGTATCTACAGGTAGAGTATAATGTTTAAAGTATAAAATATAATGCGCCTCATCACCTCTTCCACAGCTCCGAGGAAACGGCCTTTGACAGCGGCAGTTCTAGTCTCATTAAACTGAATAACAATACGATACTCTATATGCGTGAGGTCAACAAGTTTTTGGCTCTGGTCTGCATTTTACGCGAGGAGAACTTTAACCGGCAGGGCGTCATTGACTATAATTTTATATGCTTTCGCGATGCCATCAGTGAGGTATTTGAACTGCGGCTAAAACGACAGAAACAATTGCAAAATCCCGATCATGACGATGATGAATTGGCCGATGACCACGGTATTACAATGGGTGGTCGTTTGAATCATGATAATGATCCAGCTACGGTATCCAGAGCGCCATAAATTACACAAATCATAATTCCAGTGACCTTTAAGTTCTGTGTGCTTGGCTTTTTGCATATTTTCCCCCTTTTTCATTATACGTGATAGCGCACACATACACACAGATAACAAAATACTGATATCAACACTGATTTGTCTTAAACACTTATTTTTTATCCAATTTTTATGTTATTCTCCTCTTTTATATATCTTTGCTCTGTTCTATATTGTTAATTCATATGTGTAGCCGCTTTGCTGCTCTTTAAAACGCCAGAAATGCCCAGCGTTTAGAAAAAAACTATAACTAATATGTATATTCAATCGCGATCAGTCGTTCGACCTGTAAAGACGTGAATTCGAACAGCCTTCGCTTAAGCTCTACTGCTGCAGAGTTCTAAAAATAGAACTTTGCGGTGCATTCTTCAACGCAACAGCAACAAAAACCGCACACGCAGCGTTTTCTTATCGCTTGCTTCCGCGTAACTCAATTGCTTTAATTGCAATTTACGAAATTTCGTCGCTTGGCGCGAGTGCGCCTGCACTCAAAAGCACAATCCGCGATGACATCTAATGTCAATAACCTCGCTACAGCTGTAAAGGTAAATGCAGAAATGCAAGCCCAGCTTAACGTTGTGATGGCAAATAGGCAAGCCTCCATCATGCCAATAAACTCAAAAATAGATATCGCCTCCGTGCAAGGCATCACTAACAACAAAAACACGAAACGTAAACAGCCAAATTCACCAAAAACCATCAAGAAAAGGCTCATCTTCGACGAACCAAGCACCAGCAATGCAGCATTAATATCAGAAAATCGATTTTCACTGCTCGTAGAAGAAGATGAAGACTACAGCGAATCACCTGTAGCTCCAGAAGCCCCAGTATTGACCGACCAGCAAACTACTCCGAAACCTCGTCCGCCCCCCATATGGTGTCCAAACATCAAGTCTGTGGCCCTACTTCAACAGATAATAGATAAAGTAATTGATGCTAAATCATACGTAATTAAGCCAAAGAAGAATAACATAGGTGTATTAACCCAATGCAGTGAGGACTATCGCAGAGTTATAGACCACTTTACTAAGCTGGAATTGGAGTTCCACTGCTACCAGCTTAAGGAGGACAAACCATATAGAGTCGTGTTCAAAGGGCTTCACTCCAGCACTGATACAACACTAATTAAAAAGGAATTGGAAACCAAAGGCCACACAATTACAAATGTGCACAACCCACTGAGCCGTATGGACAAAACACCGCTAAATATATTTTTTGTTGACGTGGCTCAGGCCCCCAACAACAAAGAAATTTTGGACATTCGAGTTGTCTGCAGGCAACGCTGCACAGTGGAACTGCCAAGAAGATACAACGACCTGACACAATGCCATCGCTGTCAAGAATTTGGACACACACAACGCTACTGCCACAAAGCTCCCAGATGTGTGCGTTGCGCCGGGAAACACGCATCCAAAGACTGCACCCGCGAAAAGGACCAGGCACCAACTTGTGTGCACTGTGAGTTACAGCACCCAGCCAACTATAAGGGCTGCCAAGTATACAAGCGGTTGCGCAAATTGCAATCCCCAGCACAAAAAAGGAGTCCCACACAAACACCGTCTACGGGTCCGAGTACTGCTTCCGAAATTACAAGGCCCCGGAGCATTACCCAAGCCACGAGCTTTGCAACGCCTATTAGTGGTGTTTCTTACGCACAGGCCGCTAGAGGTGGACCGTCAAATAAGAATACCACAAGTGACACTTTGTTCACTGAAATGCTTCAGCAACAACAACGTCAGTTTGACGCAATTAATGCCGAGCTCAAAGCGATGCGAGAAGTACAATCCCAACAAGCAACCATGCTAAACAGTTTAATGGCCATCATAACCAAGCTTGCCTACAAATAATGGCTTTACGTGTGGGTATCTGGAACGCCAATGGCCTGAGAAACAAGACTCAGGAACTGGCTGCGTTTCTCTCACAAGAAAACATAGATATAATGTTAATAACAGAAACTCATGAGTGCCCCACTACACAAATTTTCGGATACGAACACTATCAGGCTCATGGTGAAGGAGCAAACTGCTTTGGTGGATCCTCAATCCTCATACGAGCAACAATACCGCATACACCTTTACTGCCAATTTGCAACGCAACAATGCAGGTCTCAGCCATCACCCTGCCTACGTCTATTGGAGCGATCGAAGTTGCGTCAATTTATCTTCCGCCAAACACTGGTCTGTGTGATCATCACATGGAACAGGTTCTAGGCCAAAGGTTGAATAAGACCCTCATCGGCGGCGACTGGAATGGATGGCACCCATTTTGGGGAAGCAATAGTGCGAATCGTCGCGGAGAAGTCATATTTGAGGCGATTCAAAACTTACAATTCAGCATATTGGCGACTGGAGCCCCCACCCGTTACCCAATTAATGGACACAGGCCCTCGGCAATCGACTTCGCTGTCTACAAAGGCATCTGTGACCGGCAATTGACCATTGAAGAATCCTTGGACCTATCCTCTGACCACCTGCCACTAATAGTCACAATCCACGCGCAGCCACAGCCCTTGCCCATTAGGAAACAACTACTGCCAGCAGGATCAGATTTAGGAGTCTTTAGGCGCGAGCTCCATTACTCTTTGCACATAGAAATGGAACTTAACACTCCTGAAGACGTGGACTACGCAGCAAACAAACTGCAGGAAGAAATAGTCAAAGCTGCGCACCAAGCCGCCCCACCATCTTGCCAAACAAGACAACAGTCTCCGTACAACATCCCCCTCACCTTGGAGGCCCAACACCTACTAATACACAAAAGATGGGCCAGGAGACGCTGGTTAAGATTACGCACGCCTGATGCCAAATCCATGTACAACGAAGCCACGAGGCATCTTAAAGCTGCTCTCGCCCTGCTTCAAAAGAGGTGTATCAGCGATGCGCTGGTACGAGCTGAATCGCCCACTGACGCAGAGTTTCAATTATGGAAATTTACAAGAAAGCTCAAACGGCAGCCAATACGACGTCATCCCATTCGGAGCATTTCTGGTTCCTGGCACATTGGAGACGAAGCTCAAGCTGAGGCTTTTGCAAACCACCTTCAAGACCAATTCACGCCGGTGATTACCGCAGAGGCCTCAGAAATCGAAGCAACAGAAGACATCGTTCTCTCGCCC